ACACACACACACACACACACACACACACACACACACACACAGAGTCATAATATACTCATGATATACTAAGTCCTGCCATACTGCTCTGTTGCTGGATCTTTCTTTGCTAGGGGTAGTCTTGTACTAGTGCAATAATATTTGGTTGTTCTTCTTTTATCTTGTACTATGTATATATTGAAGTTTTCTCTCATGTTGTTGTTTTTTCGATATTCTTGGAAATTTTTCCCTGTTAACTCTTCCAAAGAAAGCTACAATCAGTTGTTGTTTTCTTCAAAAGTTGTAAAAACTCGTAGTAAAATTTAGGGTTAAGTTCTAAAGAATAAATCTAATTTAGAGGAGAAAAAGTATGGATACTTAAATAAAGTTTCTTTTGGAAGCAAACTATAAAAGATGTTAGTTCTGACCCAGTTTATAAATTTAATGTAACTTTAACAAAAATATAAAAAATCTATGACATTTACAAAACGATTCTGAATTTCATGGAGAAAAATAAAGACATTTTGAAAGAAAAACATCCTGCATTCATTACTAAATACAGAAATATAGAAAAATCTATTTCCATTGTGCATATCTTAAATATGTCCTTTGTCTGAAAGTGGTACCCAGGATCTCCCAAGATCAGCTCTTTCTATGTTCACGTTATATGTGAAAGTGAGCACCATTCTCTTGACACATGCTTAGGCCATTAACGGGCAGCACTGACTGGCTTAAGTCTAAATTACATGTCCTTTTTTCTAGGTTTGGGCAGAAGCTCTCAAATTGATGGGTGCAGGAGCATAGCTCATCCAATGAAAATAAGAACTATAGTTGGGAGAAATATTGAAAAGGTAAGTAACAGGCAAGCATTAAAACATTATTTTTGTATGTGTATTTTCTTTTTTTCCCCTGATGAAATTGGCTCAATAATTGTCTATATCATTGTTTCCTTTTCAAAGAATACTTTGATTTAGTTGAAAAACTTACCTTTCTCAACATAAATTTCTAGATTTACCTTACTAATCTTCATCTGATTTTTTTTAGTTTTTAATTTATTGGTATTTTTCTAATCCTTTGACTGAATTTGTAAGTTTCTTATCCATTTACATAACAATCTTTAAACTACAATAAAGGACAGTAGGCAATAGCATGATAGTAGGTTAGGAATAGTTATCAGATAGATTCAATACTAGGTGAATCTTAGCAATTTATTTATTTCTGCTCTGCTTCTTCTTTCTGAACAATTTCCAAGTACCATGTTACTCAGCAATACCAATGGAGAGATATGTCATCAAATTCAAGTAGATGTCAGATTCCCATGAAATATACATTTGAAATTGTCATCCTGGAGTCATTTTTAACATTAAAGGTAAAATCCTTTAGAATCAGAAATTGCAGATCCTTTTTTGTTTAAGTGAGGCAAGTTACAAAGTGAGACCAATAAGTGCAATAGGCATATATAAATTTTCTTCACTGATATAAGAATCAGAATGAGTCTATTTATGTAGGCACATATTATTTAATATTCAATTTTTACCCTAGAGTTCTGTACTATTGTATCTACTTCATATTTGTGATTATACCTCTTTAATTTATATGTGCTATATACTCCCCAGTTCTCCATAGAAAAATAATAAATTGCTTTATATTCAGTGGCCAGCATTGGCAGGATACGAAACAGCTAAGTAAAGCAGTTAATTTAACTAGCAACAATGATATCCTTTGTGTCCATGAGTTTCATGGAAACAAGAGCCCGAAAAGCCTTATAACCATATGTTTCTCTGACATCATTCTTGCTGAACAGTTTTAAGGATTTTTCTCTGAATTATATCACCAAACATCACCAGATCCTGTTGGGTTTTTTGGGCCTGAGAAGCTTGTATCCTTACATTTCAATCTTCTGAATAAAATGCAATAATCTCATAGCAGTGTTTCTCCCTGTATAGTCGAGAAGTCAAAGGTTTGGACACAGCTGGCTTTGCCTGTGAGTGAATGAGAAGACCCAAGATAAAAGACCTTTCACTTCCCAACGCAGACTGACTAGAGCATAACCAAGGTTAATTTACAAAACAGTGTGATGGTCGACCCTGATCACGCTTAGCACATTAATCTTGTGTCTAAGTGGCAGACTGTGGAAAATCTTGCCTCACTCACCTTATGCAAACACTCCACATAAAACAAACATGAGGTAAAAATTAAAATCACATCCATAGTACTGTAGAGTGGCTAAGAACAGAGATAGTAGAAGCAGATTTTCTGGGTTCAAGTCCAGTCTCTGCCCTACGCATCTCTATGACCTTGGGTAATTTCTTCATCTTCTATGCCTTGGTTTCTAGGCTTATAAAATGTGAATAGTAATAAAACTTACCGCATGAGATTATTAGGTTGAAAGAGTTAACATGACCTAGAATAACAGCTGCATTTCTTTGTTTGTGAGGCTATTTGCCCATTTCCTCTGCCTTTAACTGATGTCTTGGGTTTTTACGTTGTAATAAATAATACCTAGATATCAAAAGCAATGAAATCTGAACTGGAAAAAAAAAGTACATACATAATTAAAAAAGCAAAAGGATTTAGAGCTTCTGTGAATGAAGCAGTTCTCTGTCGTGAGAGGTACCAGGGGCAAGCAGTTGGGTTTCTGATCACCCTGGGCCTCAGATTTTCTTAATCTCCAGCTAGAGAAGGTGACTCAAAAAATCAATAGGCTGAAGCACTGAAAACACAATAGTAATTCCTGATGGACCAATCCGGTCAAGCCGGTGGGTATGACTTCTGGATTCAACCAGGATAGATTGTTGCACAAACTTTAGGGAGAGCTCAGAACCATTACCCTGAAGTATTGCGACTCTGTCCTCTCCTAATTTCCAGTACCTCAGGTCACAGAATCCTACTGTTTTACCCCTCAGAGCCAATCCCTGGTTGTGTACTCTTGTTTAAAAGTGGCAGAATCAGTGAGCTTAAATTTTCTGCTTCCTTGACCATAATGCATGAGAGGGAACAGAGGCTGCGAACTTGAGGAGGCAATGAACATGGTCAAAAACAACAACAACAAAATCTTATGGCAAAACCCTAACAGGAAAGAGCCTATGACTCTTTCAAAACTATGCAAAATAAATGCATAGGAGCTCTTGTAGTGCGTCCTCTCTACCTGCTGTTTTCCTTGCCAAAAGCAACTGACTATAAAGAACCTTCTTAAAGTTACAGTTCAAGCTTACCCTTCAGACCGGAGAGGCAGAGAAGAGGCCAAAGGTTTAAAATCTTAGCATGCTGCCCAAGCGGGGTCAAGTCTTCTTTGAATGCTAAGTGTTGTTTTATCATCGTTTTTATTTTGATTATGGAAGAGAAGGACAGAAGAAAATAGGATCAATTTGGAGAAAACGTAAAATTGTCACGTTTTAGACATTTCCTTATGCTCTCAGGCTCATTTCCACTCTTGCCCTCAGTAATCTGCTTAGTCCTTAACTTGTAGGATTCCTCCACTTGTCAGGCACTCATGCTTCTGGACCCACTTGACTTGGAATTTTGGCTCACATTTCTCATTTTGTGCTATCTGGACATATGCACAAGGATTCAAATTGCCTACTTTGTGAATAGCTTCTAAAGCACAAAGAATTCCAATGTTATTTGTCCTCAACATTTCCTTTTATAGTAGCTCCGAGTGGGTACTCAAAGACCACCATAAAAAGCCAGAAAAATGAATCCCCAGGGGAAAAATAGTAGCCCTGCAGTGCCAGTGAACCAGCCACAGATCACCAATATCTAGTAAGATTAACAAATCTATAAAGGCTCAAGTAGAGACTCTGGGAACAATGGGCCCAGCTTTTATCATTATTCAGTAAGAAAGATTTGGATATTTCTACTAGAGTCCCATCTCATCATGTTCACAGTTGTTTATTTTGAGTTTAATGATCGTTTTGTTGCTCTTAAAGGCCCCAAAGAGTAGACTCTATCTAACTACTTCGTCTCAACTCAGGTGTGTAAAATGGGGAAACCAGTGTAGTAGAATCCCTTACTTAATGCTTCAAACAAGAAGTATCAGTCTGTGACACAATAAACATCAGATGACAAATGCTTCAGGAATCTAACCATTACCTTATTTTGGGATAACCTACTTTGTTGATTTTTTAAAAATTGGGGACAGGATAATCTAAAAATAATCATGCCTTTTGATTATATGTTCTGACTCTCTCTTTCCTGGCAGGGCATCTATTCCAAGACCCTCAGTGTAGGCCTTAAACAGCAAACAGTATGTAATCTCATAGTTACTGTGTCCTTTCATAAACACTTGGACTCATGACAAAGTTTAATTTATACATTATATACAGTAAAAAAAATAACAATACCTAATAATAAAGTAGAACAATTCTACCAGCACATCATAATAAAAAATGAATGTGGTCTCTGTCAAAATATCTTATAGAATTGTGCTTCCCATGATTCATCTTACCCACAGTTGTCTTTGGGCAACTGAAGTGGAGGAAAGGAAGCCAAGAAGATGCGGGAGGGTGGCTGTGTTTCCATAATTATCCTAACCCTGTAAGCTTTTGCTTGTGATATAAAATATTTCCTTCATAGTTTTATGGTAATTCATAGTTACTTTCTTTGTTGATGCATTTGTTGTCATTTAGGCATCATAAAATTGACTAGCCCACACACTACATTTTCAGCTACAAATACAAAGCCAAATAATAATAGGTACTGTGTAAGATAGAAAATAATCCAGGCCCAAGTCCTTTATGCCACATTTAAAGACAAACAAATGTAATTTTGTAGTATTATTTGATGTACAGGAAACAATGCTTCCGTTCAATTACTAAAAACAAGAATGAGTATTAGTCTCTTAACTCTTAGGAATTATTTTCCCTTTTATGCCGGTTTGCTTCTTTTAATAGGCTAAAAAGTGGTTCTCAGCCATAAGTGCACATTAGAACCACTTGGGGAGGTTTGTAAAATTCCAATGCCCGGACCATACCCTCATCAATTATTCAAAACCCATAAACTTACAGTCCTTTGGCAGATTACAAAGTACACAAAAATTAAGGGGCATTTTATTATGTGTGCATGCATGTGGGAACACCCAGGTGCACAAGGGAGGGTCCAGAAATGAGTGTTATTTAGGGGCAAATGAAGAAACAAAACCACGCTTTGAGAAGGCTCATTTGACAGCAGGATGATTTGGCATAGAGGCTGAATGACTGCAAGGCCACCAATCACTATACAGTTCACTGAATAAGAGCTAAGACGTACCTGAACTCAGGTGATAGGAAGGGTAGTATCATAGTGGGCTATGAAAGATACAAGATATGCCTGGAGAAATTGCTCTACAAGATTCGAAAATTGATTGGTTATGAATGCTACAGGAGAGACAAACTCCAGGTCCTTGACAATTGTGCCTCGCCTGATTCTAGGAGTAATTGGTTACCCACATGTGGTAAATTAACACTTTGAATGACAGTATGCCAATTTGCAAATTACTTCTTTCAGAGCATTAATGACTGAAGAGTATAATCACCATGACATTATTTTTATTGGCATTAGCATTAATAAATATTTCATGAGCAACCAAAAATTACAGCGCCTATACTTTGAAGAATAGTGTTCCAAAATATAAAATCCAGACCTTCGACTATCACCACTGCCAAAATTTCTCTAAATATTTATAAATAAAATAACAGTTCATTTGAGTAGCAGATTAATTGAGATGAGTTGCAATTATGCGTAATGTTAAGTAGTTTTGTTTATGTAATTATAAATTGTAGAGCTTGAAGAAGGAACAGCATGAATTCTAACAACAATGTTACTGTAACATGGAGTATTTCATAAATTCTCTAGGTCTCAGTTGCCTTATCTA